TGTTCATGTTTGCTACCACCTAAGTTCAGGCAACACTGACAACTATTTTTTCCAGTGGAAAAAGATAATATTCAGATGCCTCCAAACAATAACCCCATTCTAGTCATTCGATGCCTTTCAGTTCTCTTGTATCTTGTCTTTAGAGACTGAGGCAGCTGGCGAAATGGTCAGCATCATTCATAGATTCAGCATGCATGTCTTGGGCTAAAATAGAACCTTAGCCCAGGGATCAGCACTTTTCAGAAGTATATTAGGCTTTGTAGGCTGGAAGGCCTCCATGGTCTCTGTTGCAGCTCCCTCCCTTTGCTGTCGAAGAGCAAAAGGAACTATTGACAGTGTCTGAACAAACAAATGTGTCTGTGTTCCAATAAAATTTATTTAAGAACACTGAAATTTGAATTTTGTATAATTATTATGTGCAATGATGTAATCAATCTTCTTTTGAAATTTTCCAACCATTTTAAAATGTAAAAACAAATAGTGCCTGGATTTGGCCTGCTGGCCACGGTTTGCCAACCTCTGCCTTAGCTGAAGAAGAAAAATGCTGTAGTGAGTAAAGGAATTTAGAGAGCTGTTTTTCTCTCTACCCGACATTGTAAATGATAAGACTGGATAGTGGAGGAAGAACTTTCTAACTCTTAAGTACAGTGGACCCTCCAACAACACGAGTATGAACTGCAAGGATCCACTTAGATGTGGATTTGTTTTCAATAAACCCCTCTACCGATCCGATCTGTGTTTGGGAGTCTTCAGATGCTAAGGGCTGAGAGTGTGTGTTCATCTATACCATTTAATATAAGGGGCTTGAACATCCACAGCTTTTGGTAAACGCGGTGGGTCCTAGAAAACCAATCCCTCATGGATATGGAGGGACAACTTATGTCTGCGAGAGTCAAAAGTTATACATGGATTTCTGACTGCATAGGGGGTTGGCACCTCTAACCCTTATGTTGTTCAAAGGTCAACTGTATTACAAGTTGCTAAAATGTTGGTTGAGAAAATTGAAGGGAAAAAAATACCAGAATATATACCTATGCCTTTACCTTCAGAAAAGTATTTCATGTAGAGTTTTTACTTTCCAAAAACATGGCCATATTTGTATATATTTACAGTTTTACCTCCCCTAAACAGCCTTTCCTAATGATTTCCTACCCCCATCCAGACAAGATTAGCTAAAGAAACAGAGGCTCAGACACTTATAAGAATGGAAGTTTTCATTTAGGACACATCAAAACTTATTTTCAAATAATAGGAAACTTTGGGCATTGAGGAAAGCATTAGCTACTCATAAGTTCAACTATGCTGCCTTCAAATGGGAAAAGCTCTCGCCAGTTATAATAAATGGTGTAAGAGGAACTCTTACTTCATGCGAGTGCACCAAGCCCATTAATGAGAGGATAGCTGGACGTTGCCAATTTGGGTCTATAAACAGATTTCCCAGCAAGCGCTGAACAAGGCACACTCAAGGTTCTCACAGGGTAATGGCCCTCAGTCTGTCTTGGCTGACACAGGATAGTTGAGCTCAGCAAAAAGAATCTTAGACATTATTAGTGAAGACAGAGATGGAGAAAAGTTGGAAATCGGTCCACCTCCTGCTCGTAGATGGTCATTGGATGGTTTGGTTCCTCCAGTACTTCTTCTCGGAAACTTTCTGATCTGTGACCTTTAGGACTTATTTTCTTCCTGTCATAGCCACACTAATTGTGTGACCTCAGGGAGTTTATTTCCCTTCTCTAGGTTCGGACTTGTGTATTTAAAAAATTAAGGCTTTGGACTAGATTCTTTAGTGGTCTCTTTCTCCTTTGTTCATTAACTCTGTCAAGTGATTATCTGTCAGAGTAAAATCAAGAGCAAGATCCTAGTGAATAAATTTGCTAATAGCTGTTCCCTGTTTGGGTATGTCCTGATAATGCTGTACACCAATAATTATATTAGATAAAGTTGTTTTCAGAGGTAGATTTCAAGTTAAGGTTATTTTACACTCCGATGAAAAGGATTCAGCTAGAGATCGTTCTGTAGTGATGGTTAGGTAACTAGGAATGTGCCTCACTGGGCATAAAGTATGTAAAGCTGGGCTGGTATGGTCCCCAGTCCCTTCTGGAAGACAGCACAGAGAGCCTCCTAGCTCTGATGTGATCTCTTTCTTCAGATTGGGAGAAATCCCTATTGCTAGTATTTTTATGAGCTTATTCTTTCAAGAAGTAGTGGTTAAGAACGTGAACTCTAAAGCCAGAACTGGGCAAGTTTCTTAACCTATTTCATAGGGTTTCTAAAGATTAAATGTGTATAGATATTTAAAGCCCTTGGAATAATTTCTGACTAATAGAAAACATTTTATAATGATAGTGGTTATTATTATTATTATTGAGTACAGTGTTGAGGGAAAATTAGAAATTGGTTAGCCGCCTAATATTAGATAACTTCAGAATATCAAAATGGTCATTGTATAATTCTGGCACTCTCTCTTAGAAGCCTTGACCTTTGAAATTACTTTTCTTCCCATTACAGCCACACAGGAGCTTTGGAGGCATTTAATGACATCGAATTTCATAAATCCTGTCATTTAGTGAGCAGGGTATCTGCATTTTTCTCCTTTCCCATGTAACCGGGACTTCAGCGTGTTTGTTCTGCATACAACCTTTGAATTCATTTCCATGACATTGAGTATATAGAGGTTGGTTTGCATTTTGCTAGTACTTTCAGGACCTCCATGTATGACCACACAAGTCCTGCACTGACCAGCTCCAGAGGACCACTGTCTACTTCAGAACTAAATACTGTTTAGCACATATTCAATTAGACCAAAAGGACATTGTACATAGCTCATATGTAGGCAGGCATCTTTTAAGTAAGAGTACTTTTTAATGTGATTTTATACCATGATGACCTCATAAAAGAAAGTGTTTCCTCTATTAATGACAGTAACAACTAGCTCCTTATACACACAGTAATACCACTCCTATAGAATAGGAAATTATTATGTATTGAAAACCAAACCGAAAGATAAAGTCTTCTGAAGGATTACAGCTTGGTTTCTGATTATGAAAGAGAAGGAGGCTTACCCCGTCCATGAAAGGGTGATTTTATGTGTAGATGCAGTAAGTTATTGAAAATTTTCCTGGAATTGAAGGAGCTCTTGAACTCCAATTAAAACAAAACAAAAATTTCCCATGAGCTTAATTGATATCTGAAATGCTTCCGTCAAAAATGAATTTCTTTCATTCATACCTATATCATACATTGTATGCACATGTCTTGGAGAGGAAGATGCATTTATTTTCACTAGTTATTTACCCTCTAGAGTGAATAAATGGACCAGACATGTTTGTAAAAAACGATTTCATGGGAGTATGTAGAGAGGACCTAAATTCACTGAACAGCTTACACAGCCTCTCCAATAGAGAATGATCATGGTGACCTGCTGAATGCAAATACTGACCATTCAGAATTGTACAGAGATAGACTCTAGCACTAAAATTTTTATTTAGAGTTAACTGACCTTGGACTCCAAGATGGCATCAGTTATTCCATTGAGGAAAAAGAAACTCATGGATATTAAATTAGGGGGGCTGCCAAGCTGGATACTGATGAGGGCTTTCACCCATAAAGGCATTGCTGGAGCATTTCAAAGAGGTTATTACCAGTATTACAACAAGAATGTCAGTGTGAAGAAAGAGAGCATTGCTGGGGTTTCTAAGGTGCTGGCAGCTTATGTGCTTTTCAACTACTGCCATTCTTACAAGGGACTCAAACATGAGAGGCAAGGCAAGTACCACTGAAGAGGGCCCAGTGTGGAGGCCTCACTCTGCATTCCTGACTGTGACCTTTGCCCGGCACCCCTGAATCCTTTCATATCCTAATTAACACCTAATAAAAGATACTGATAAAAAAAAAAAGTTCACACTGATTATATACTAAATATATTACATATTCTCAGAAGCTAAATAAACTTTCTGTCTCCTATTTAAATAAGCAGAGTTGATGCTGCATTTTACTTTCTTTAGGGTAACGAAACCTGTCATGCCTGGGCCTCTGTAGATATGCAGTAAATGCCTCAGAGGCAAAATATAATTCATTATTTCCGCTTTATTTTTTAATTTTTATTTACATTTATTTTATGCTGAATTTATTTCTAGGCCATACATTTTTATTTCTTCAGTTTCTTCTAGGATATCTTTTTCTTCTGTGCAACCTCCTCTTCTGGCTTAGGAACAGTTTGCTCTTTTTCAGTAAGAATCATCTCAGTGTGGCAGGGCGAGCTCATGTAGGGTTAATCCAACTGTGAGCTCTGTAAATTTAGGGCCCCTCTGGCGGTTTTGTTTATCTGATTTGCTCAATGACCAGAGACTCTACATTAAAACCTTTAAGTTCAGCATTACTGTACATTTTTAGGTATGTATAGCAAAAATTCAGTACTTTTAGTGGGTCATGGAGCCTGTGTCCAGCCCCACTGTTTGTTTTGGGCACACCTACCAGCTCCAGCATTGTACTAATGGAACATTGTAATGACGCATGGCTTCCGTAAAGTAACACCTTTCAGATACTTGGTGGCTGTTTGGATATGCGTACCTTAGAAGACCTGTGCAGGTTCATGGATGTTCTTAAAGAGAACATGAAGATTTGAAGTTTTTGATTTGCGTGATTTTGTGGAGCTTTCTGGGTCAGTTGAATGTCGAATCATTTTCAGAGATCACTTTAGGCTTCTTATGAGAAGAAGCAGCTATCTTTACCTTATTTTGCCAGAAGACAATGAAGTATATTTTGAAACAAATTTTAGAAAATTGCCAGGTTCCTCTTTGAATAAGTAGGCTTTCCAGGCTTGATGGAACACACCGGATGCAAAGCCATTATTATTCTTCATAGCTCCTCGGCTCCTCACCTTCCACTCAGGTTGGGTTACTCAGTTGCACTGCTGGTAATTGTATACCTGCTCAAGCAAAAACGAAGGTTCTAAAGCTAATAATTTTCTGTCACTTAGAATATTTATTTTCTCATTTCAGAAAGTAGATGTCACCAGCAGGGCTGTGATGGAAATAATGACTAAAACAATAGAATACCTTCAACCCAATCCAGGTAAGAGGTCCCTTCATATATTCAGAATATCCTTCCAGGTAACCTTTAATTTTCTTTGATAGACATTTTAGGTTTGGTGTGCTTCTGCTTCCACAGCCAACTTTTCTGGAGGTTCAGTGACTTCAGGTATAGCATTTTCACTTGGGATGGGAGACCTTTTAAGGCATACATTGATGTGACTCAAAGGATTGCTTCTGTGGCATTTTATCTGACTTTGATGTATTTAATGAACAAAATTATGTGGATGGCTTGAGTGGCATATAATGTCAGGATAGCTGCAAGCTGTTATTAATGGAACTTAATTTTCAAGGGATGGTAGAAAAGAAAATTGGAATAATATTAAGGTAAGATATAGTAATCCCTGGAAGATATGAAAAGATGGGAGGTTGAATAGTTTCTGTGAAATACAGAAGGTTTCTGTTCTTTCTTCATATAGCATCACTAAAGTCTTTGGAGGGTTGTTCTTAATTCTGATTCCTCTCACACATAAGTGTTTGTTCATGCTAACCTATTATACTCTAAGAGAAGGAAATCATAGTAGAGATAATGGAGCTATACCTTGAAAAGAGAACAAGACAGAACTGGGCAATCTCTATAGGGACAAGATGTAATAGAGCAAAGCAGCTGACATCATCAGCCTCCTCCTTCCTACTCTTCCTCTATAGCAGTTCCTAACCCAGAGTATAGAAACTTGAAACAAGACCGAATGTATTTAAGTGGAATGCATTCATATTTGGAAAACTGCTTCCTCTTGAGACTAGTTTCTTTGGGAGTTTCAGGTTGGGATTCCAGTATCTTTGATGGTACTAGGGGAGATAGCCCCGGCATAGTGCCAGCCTCATGTGTTTGGATGCTAAGCGTTACTAGACAAGAGATAAAAGGAAAGGTGGGGATAAGAGGAAGCAGGCAAGTGCAGCAGACAGTGCTGACTAGCTCTTTACTGCTTCCTGCTGCCAGCTGCAGCCATCATGCAATCTTTGTTTATTGCTGCTGTTTTAAAGATGAACAAACTAAGTGGGAATGATGTTTCTATTTTTGTTTTTCTTAAACTACATCAGAGATTGGATTATATGAAGAAGGAAAGTCTAGAAGTAAATATGGTAAGCTATAGTAACCAGGCATTTAACTGACAGTAGACCAAATGATTAAGAAATTAGGCAAAGAATAGCAAAAATCAAGTTTCTGATTTTTACCCAGAGCCTTCTTCATGACCTTTATATTCTACAGAGATGTAAGGATCACTTAAATGTACCTGTATTCCTTAGTATTTAAGCAACTGTAATAGATCAAATTCTAAAAGGAGAAATGCTCACCATAACAAATCATTATGTAGGGGAAAGAAATGTTTGTCTTTATCTCTGCATAGAACTTTGAAGTGCTCTCATTACCTAGGACTTACACATGAATTGTGCTAGTAACACACTGTGGGACTAAGATAAATATAGGGAAGAGGAAGAAAAATATACTATTTATTGAGCACTAATGCATTTTCAGTACAGTGCTAGTTATATACACTGTGTCATCTCTGAGAGGAGCCTTTTTATTTCTGCTTGCAAAAATAAAACAAGTTGAACAATTTATAATATAGAAAAGGGACTAAAATTTCATTGTAACACAAAATCTCAGTGGGGACCCATCAATGTTCCTGAGTAGAATGGAATGATTCTCTGTTGTAGGTATGTATAGTGCATACCTAATGTCCCCCCAAATTCAGGGCTACCCGCAACCTCAGAATGTGACCTTTTTTGGAAATAGGATCTTTTCAGATACAATTAGTTAATGATCTTGAGGTTAACTCGTCCTGGAGTTAGGGTAAGCCCTAACTAACTCCAAAGACCAGTGTCCTCATAAGAAGAGAAGACAGAGACACAGGGAAGAAAGTCAAGTAAAAATGGAGGCAAAGATTGGGGTTCTGCTTCCCCAAGGCACGGAGAGCTAGGAACCACCAGAACTTGGAAGAGGCAAGGAAGGATCCTCCGAGAGAGCCTCTGGAAAGAACTGGCCCTGATGACACCTTGATTTCAGAGTTTTGGCCTCTTGGACTGTGAGGGAGTGAATTTCTCTTATTTAAGCCACCCAGTTTGTGATAATTTGTTATGGCAGCCCAAGGAAACTAACAGGAGGCTAGCCTTGTTCTATGCAGGTCAAACAAACAAACAAACAAACAAATGTCAGGGTCCAGAGATTTTTAGATACTTTCTTAAAGTTACTTACCCAGGAGCAGATGAAGCCAATATTGGAACCCAGGTAGGTGTGATGGCTTCCGACGTCACTGTACTTTACATTGCTTGATGCTGCCTCTGAGAAGGATGGGTTCAACTTCAAAGGGTCCTTCACTGTTAGAGAGGTACAACAGAAATTCAGAAAGGAAACAAGTTGTGGGGTTAAGACTTATTTTAATAAAGAGAAAGTAATTGGGGAAGATTTGAATTTTTAGAAATGATACATTTTTAATAGAATGCTGAATGTGCTATGTAGTTGCCCACATATTATTAGTTTTATGGCTGTTTAAAAATTGAATAGACATCTGTCATCAAGGAGAACAGTAAAAGCCATCACCAGGAAATCCTAGGTTGGTTTTAGAAAAGCATTATATATGGGCGGGCCACATATGTATACAAATAATTGTCACCCAGAAGAGTCCAGAACAAAAATTTCATATATTCATTCTACAGAATGTAGACAATCTGTGTTTAATTGGTTTATGATAGATGTGATTAGATTCCTTTGTGAAATTCTTTCCTTGAGAACAGACACTGGCTCTACTGCTCTTGAAAGACACAGACTGATCAAGTACACTTGTTTAGAACCCAGGTGTCCTTGAGAAGGGGACACAGGAATCCAGCAAATACCCAGAGATACCTTTGGGCACAGAGGAGCACAAAGAATATTTCCAGACTCATGCAGTTTGCTAAATACTTTGACCACTCAGCCTCTCAGTGACCCCATGAGCTGGTCAACCAATATGGATTTTTACTGGGTGCTGCTCCTTAATAAGCAAGATCTAGCTTGGGTCAGGACAGAGACTGATACCAGGTAACAAATGTGCATGGCCAGGCCAGTAGAATCAGTGGAAAGTAATGTTTCGAGTGTACTTTTAGATTAATACTGTAGGGTGCTTTCTGATCTTGTAGTTGTGGAGCATACACATCTTTTATATTCTCAAAACTCAGTGTCTGTTGAAATGATGACCAAAGAGCATTTGATTAATTTTTATCAGTCTGTAGATATGCTCTGTCCCACATCTGCTTTTACCCACCTCCAGAGTGATATTTTTAAAAGGCACATTTGATCATATCATTATCTTGCATAAAATCCTTCAATGGCTTTTCATTGCTTTTAGGATTAAGTTTAAAAATTTTAACATGGCTTAAAAGGCCCTGCCTACATGGTCAGCCTGCCTTTTCTCTGCTATCTCGCCAGGGAAACAGTTCCCTCAGGTCCAGTGGAGTGGTTACTTAGAAGCTTTCCTTAACCCCCGACTATGTTAGGTTCCCCTTTCAACACCCCTCTCAATTAGAATAACTGAAAAGCCAGCTGCTTTTCCTTGGTGGCACATGTCAGTTATTCTAATTGTGTGATGTGTGCGCTTTTTTTTGTTTGTCCTCCCCTGTAAGGACAGTACTGTGCCTTGCTTATTCACCACTGCATTCCCAGCCCCCAGCTCAAGTCTGGCAGCCAGTGGCACTTGGATATTTGAATAAACAGTTGGCAGTCAGTAGCTAATATGATAAAATTGCTCTAGTATAAAGAATAGGAGTGAAAACTCTTTTCCCTAAACCATCAGCTCTTCCCATGTAACCAGCATGTATCAAATGCATTCATTTTTATGTGAAGACCAATTCTAGATGTTGTGTGGGTGGAAACAGGACCGAGGTTGAGCCCCCACTTTCTGGGACCTCACTGTCTAACATAAGGTATGTACACTCTGGGGAGAGTGGCTCAGAGGGCTTCATGGCCAATTCTTTTGGAAAGTCTAGCTTCCTTACAAGATGAGAAGGATGAATGAGTCACAGGTCTTTGAAGCAGGGCTTTTGAGAACATAGAAGAGAACTGTGAAGTCTTTCAGTTCGGACTGTGAAATTATTCTAACAAGAACAGCATAAGCCAGCACAAATTTCTAACCTGCTTAAATAAATAATTTGAACATGAAAAGTACTATGTACAAGTTCCATTCTACTGATTGTGAGCCCCAGTTCTCATGGTATCTGAGAGCAAAGATCATCAGAGAAAATATAAATCAATTTTTTATTTGAGTATTCTGATACCTTGTGGGGGAAATATGCACTAAGTCAACATTCTCCAACAGAAATATGATACAAGTCATATGTGTAATTTTGAATTTCCTAGCAGCCACTTTAAAAAAGTAAAAAGAAGTAAAATTTATTCTAATGTATTTTACTTAACCTAATTTTTCCAAAATATTAACCAATGATAAAAATTATTGAGGAATTATATTTTCTTTCTTGTACTAAGTTTTGAAATTCAGTATGTTTTATGTTTATGGCACATCTTGGTTTGGGCTGGCCACATTTAAAATGCTCAATAGCCCCATATAGGCAGTGGTTTTCATAATGGACAGTGCAAGACTAGTTTGCCATTCATTTTATTATATTTTAGTATGTGTTTGATCTGTAGCTGCTTGGTTTTGTATGTTAGTGCTTGTTTTTTCAATAGAGAAATGGACTTGATTTGGGATAAGGATGTCTTTAAGTTTGTTTGTCTTTTTTATCCTTCGCAAATCTGTTTCATGGTACTGTATTGGAGATTTTCCTCTTAAATAGTGTGATAGACATGGCCAGATTGGGCTGTGTTTCATTCCCAGCCATAGCATATGGGTTATGACAGAGGTTTTTTCAGTTTGTACTTAAAGTTATTCTGACCCTGATGTCATAATCCAATACAGATTTCCAAGATGAGTAGATAAAAAGCAGTTTGAACATTAAAACACTGTGCACAGTCGGAGTTTGATTCTCTATAGAAATGCTTTCCCCTTGAAT